GTTAATAGACTAGCTGATTATATAGAGTCAAGTGGTGTCTGCTGCTCAGCTGAAACCTATAGGCTACTGCTTACTACCTTGTCTCGTTTACGCACAGCTGTGACGCAAGTGCAAGGGTACAGCAACAAGAGGCGCGAGCAAACGGTCGCCTCATTTCACGCTTACAGGATACAAACACCTCGTCTTCCTGACGATCTTTCTCTGACCTTCCCATGCTCCCTTTGAGAGAGATAGAGAGGAGGAAGAAGTGCTATCATAGATACAACTCTGAAGGTGGTGTTTATTGTTATTTGTTTGTTTATTTGGAAGGGAAGTGAAAGCTTTTCTCACAATTCTCGTTTTCTCTCTTTATGCATGTTTTGTAACATTACATTTCATTTGATCCCTGTTATTTCATCCACACATTTTATTATTATTATTGTGGCTGATGAGCACATCTCAAGGACGGGGTATCATCCAGTCAGGCAGCAATGCCTCCAAAGAAAGGGAAGAAGAAGGGAGGAAAGAAGAAAGAGAGCGCTGAGGCACTTCGCCTGAAGCAGCTGTATGCACTGGAGAGTGAGGCGGAGGAACTTCAAAAGCGTGAAAATGACCGCCGTGATCGAGAAGAACAGGAGGAGCGTCTCATTTTGTGGAAGGAGGAACAGGTCCGCATAATCCGTGAGAAGGATGGCAAGGTGAAGGAGCTTATGGCGAAGGTGGAACAACTCACCACGTCCCTTCATGATGAGCGTGTGGCGTCGGAGGCTCAGGTGGAGCAACTTGTTTTGATGCGAGACTCGCTGCTTAATGAGGTGAGTCTGTTGCGTGTTGAGCTGGAGGAAAAGCAAAAGCTCCTCCTACATGAGAAACAAAGCGCGGAGATGAAACTGTACAGTGTACGGGAGGAAGCTGAAAAGAATATCAAGGCTCTTTCTGACGAGATGGAGGAAATGCGGTCGGAGTTTGCTCTCTTCAGGTTAGAGCATGCGGAGTACAGAGAGAAGATGGAGGAGACGTTGGACAATAAGGAGGCAGAAATACGTACACAGGCATCAACAATTGGTAATCTGCGGCGCGAACTCGAGAAGGCGCTTGCCATGAACCGTTCTTTGCAAGAAGTTGTGGAGACACGCGAGGCAGATGATCGAAAGAATGTGACCCTCATGCAACTACTTAACGCTCAACTTGATGAAAACAAGCGCCGCTACGAGGAGCAGTATGAGGAGCAACGGCGGTGCACTGGCATTGCAAAGGAGGAGGTGTTGCAACTAGAGACGAAGTGTATGAAGCTGCAGGATGAGATTGATGTATTGAAAAACGAAAATGCAGAATTCAAGCTCAAATCAGACGTCATGCTGCGCGAGTATCAGCAACAAATAGAGCAGGTCAGGAGTGACTCCGCATATTTGGCCGCAGAGCTTCGGGCTTTGCATGAGAAGGCGATACAGGAAACAGAGGCCACACAAACGGCCAAGATAAGTCTTGAAGGAGAGCTACAGAATACACTTGTTGAGCTGGAGGCCAACCAAAAACGTATGGAGGAGTTGGAACTGCTGCTGCGACGCAAAGAACGGGAAACGTTTGATAAGATCACCTTTCTGAATGCTCAAGTTTCAAATAACCGGACCATCATTTCCCAATTACAGCAGAAATTAATACAAGAGCGGAAGGTGCATGAGACGGAGCTTATGCGAACATTTGATGAGACGAAAGACAAGGAAAAGGAGCTTGATGCGGTGCGCAACAGCTTTACACAGAATCGGGATGCTGCCAAAGAACGGGAAGCGCAACTCCTTTCGGAGGTTGCGGTACTGAAGGCAACAACGTTTCATGTTCAGACGGCTCTGCAGGATACACAGCGGAACTTGGAAGTTGTGGTGGCGGCAAAAGATGAAGAGATCAAGCGACTCTGCAACCTGCTGGACGCGCACTTTATTCCCCACCGCAAGACCATCGAGGGTGAAGTGACAACGTACGAGGGCACCATTGCGATTCTCAGCGAGAAGGTCGGCGAGCTGACGCGGGAGATGGAGATACGGGAACAGTTAGCCCTTGAGAATGAGACTCAGCTCAAGGCCCGCATTGCAAATCAGGAGGAAGTTATCGAGGCACTTCGAGAAGACCTGCGTTGCTCGCAAGCCCGGCGCCGTGAGGAGGTGCGGTCCGTCGAAGAAGAAGTTTCCCGCCTGAAGAAGACACTGGAGATCCATTTTATCCCGTACGAGATATAACCGCTGAAGCGCCAACTCGACCATATATATATATGTATTATATGTTTTATATGTATGGGGCTGGGAAAAGGGGGAAAAAAAAGGAAAAGAAAAAAAAATGAGAAGGAATAAATTCACGATGTAAAGAGTAGAGGGAAGGGGTACTCATTTGAAGGGCAGAAGGAAAATATGCAAACAAGAAAAAGAAGAAAAATGGGAAACGAATACCAAAGGGAGAACATAAAAGAAAGAAAGAATATTTGATGGCACACAGGCATGTATTTATATTATGTGCGCTGTAACCTGAGTGGAGAAGTACTGCATGAAGTCAACTTCACTGATGCTACAGAAGTTGTGTGTTTCTCTGGCATCTCAGCACATAGCCCGTTTCACTTGTTGCTCTGTGCACGAACAATCCCATTATTTATTTTTATGCTCGGAAGAGAGGAAATGAAGAGTCTTATTCAAAAAGTACTTCCTTCTCTTATTTGTTTCTTTTCTTTTGTTTTTATTGTTGTTGTTGTTTTTTAAATCTTTTACTCTGGCAACACCGTATGTATTTATTTTATTATATTTCCTCCGTGCTGTTGAACTCTTCCGCATTTATTTATTTTTATTAATTATTTATTTATGAGGCGGTGTGTTAAAAACTGTCTCTCTCTCTCTCTGCCTGTGTGTGTGTGTGTGTCTGTCTCTGTCAACACCGAAGGAGAGGAGGGGATACGCGTGGGATTACACACCGACGGATAAGTCATTACGACCCCAGAAGTAAATAAAGAAATAGGGCCATAGAGACACCTACACACAAACACACCCATTTACGCACATACGCATCATCACTACACTGCATTATATACAGATATATTCATATACATTTAGATAATTATAATATCCGATAGACACCTATTCTAGTCTGGTGATACTTGAAGGAGGAAAAAGAAAACAAGGTTAAGACGGGTACAAATGGAGAATGTTGTTCCATCGCCCAACGGATGGGAAACGCCACCAACGGCCGGTTCCGCCGCAACAACAGGCGTGTACGCCGCCGACCACATCCCTGGCACGTACCTTAAGACTTTGACGGGTGTGCAGCGGGGTGAGGAACTTTTCCACCGGCCAGACTTGGAGCGTCCGTGGCGAACAACGGCGGCGCAGCGAAGCGCGGCAGTGTTGGCGCTGAAGGAAAAGGAGATTGAGGAACTTATGCGCAAATGCTCCAGTTTGCGAACACAGCTTGGTAACGCAAAGCATGATGCAAAGTATCTCGAATTTGCCGCCGATGAGAGGGCGAAAGAGAAGGTGGCTGAGATACAAAAAGAGGTGAATCGGCTTGAGACGGCGCTGAAGACAGTGAAGGAAGAAAGGGAGGAGTTGAAGATATCCACGGAGCACCAGCTGCGATTGTTAAAGTCTCAGCATGAGAAGGAACTCATCCAAGCGCAGACTGAGAAGCGTCTGTTGAACGATCGCTGTGTAGAACTTACTAGGATTTATCAGCAGCAAGTCGATGACGTCAAGAAGGCTGCGGCACGAGAACTGGAATACGTGGAGAGTTTATGTAATACTCGGGTGGAGCAGCTGAAAAGTGAGCTTCAGGCCGCCCATAGTGAAAGTCTGGCGGCTGAAGAACGCCGCGCGGAGGAATTGGCACGGGCTAAGAACCTCACTCACCGCATTGAAACGGACTACAAGGAACGTCTTTGCGAAGCTGAGAAGCGCGTTGATGAAGTACGTGAACGGCTGGAAACGGCAAACAAACGACTAACAGAGGAACGCAACACTGCTATAAAGGAGGCAACTCGCTCTACAGAGCGGTTGGCTGTTACGTTGGCAGATCACGAAGCGTTGCTGGAGCGAATGAAGAAATGGAACACGTACATTCTTCGTCTACTTGATCAATTTTATACAGCGCTTGTAGACTCTAGACCGGAACAGGCCGTAGAGCCGCATGATCCAGAGTTACATGAATCTGCTTCTTTGTATGTCCCGCGATCTCTTATGGAAGATCCGAATGCAAAAGTAACCGTGGAGCGCATTGTGTATCGCCTGTTACAGCTGAAGCACACTCATCTAACGGAGGAAGTGGATCGTGTTCCGAGAGACAAGAACTCCATAGAAGCTTTAGAGGAGTTGGTTGAGAAGCAAAAACGCCTCTCACAGGCATTCCAAGAGATTGAAGAGAAATGTATGGAGGCCAGAGATTCTCTCAGTGGTGTCATCTCTCGCTTGTGTTTCTTTAGCGATGATCTTAATGATGCGATTGCCAACTCGGGGTACGTTGCGCCCCCGCAAAGTTGCGCAATTTTTGTCTGTCTTGGAGTCTTTAGGGGAAGGCAATTATGGGCTGAAGACGCTGAGAGGGCTCGCGCTTCTGTGTCCCTGATGAATTCCGTGTTACGTCCTAAAATGACACAGTATGGAGCCTATGAGTGTTACAGTGACGGAACATCCATGTTGTTGGCCTTTGCGGATCCTGTGGCCGCTTGTCGTTTTTGTGTGGAGTCGCAGTGGTGGTTGATGAATTTGCCGTGGCCACAGTCTTTGCTCCGAAGTGTATGGGGCAAAGAGGAATACGATAAAGCAAATAAACTGATATACCGTGGATTACGCTTATCTATGTCAATTCACACGGGTGATGCATTTGTGGAGCCAACCGCTATACCGTGTGGAGATTCTTACCGTTGTCACTACTATGGTCGTGCTCTTTCGCAAGTCATTCATGTTTGTTCTCTTGCACAGGGAGGTCAAGTACTTGTGACAGGGCCTGTTTGGGACATGTGTGCTCCAGATCTACATGAATTGGGGCCTGTTGGAGTCCGGGAAATTGGTGCAGTTCCCATTGTTTCTTTCAACAAGGAGACAAATTGTTATGAGAAGGAGAGCCTTCTTCTTCGTCAGATTCTCCCACAGGAGTTGTTGGGTCGTCCCTTTCAAAATATTGTGGAGGAGGACGCACTGGATCTCGCACTGTTTGGAAAGATGCGACGGTCTATGCTTTCAGATGAAATTCAATGCGTGGAGGCACGGCGGGCTTTCCTCAAGGAGGCGGTTGGTGTGGCAGGCGAGGAACTGGTGGCGGTGGACCGCGCTATACACGCCCTTATGCATCGGACACGAGAAGCGAAGTCGTACTTTCATTTGCTTCCGCCCACTGAAATGGTGGAGTTGTTGAACGATTTGTACGGTGTGATGGAGAAGGTTGCATCTCGCGCGTCCCAAATTCGTGGCGACCTCCGTCGCATGGACCAACGGCAGGATGAACTGGTGAACCAGACCCGTGGCTTGAAAGACTACTGCCTCCAGCATGCATTCACAGCCTCTCGAGTGGAGGAGCTTCAAACTCATTCAGAACTCATGCAAACTCGTTATGAAAAGGAGATGACTGAGATGCATCGGAGCCACGCAGAGAAGGTGGAGCAGCTTCAGCGCGAGTTGCGGGAGCGTGACCAGCTGATCCAACGGCTCTACAGGAAACTGCAGTCTGCTCCACGGAGCCACTCATGACGAACGACTCCACCATAATTGGGGGATCAGAGAATGGAAGGGTGTGTAGGGTGCCATTTTGCGCCCCCCACAGTAGTGAGCTGGAGAATAAAACCCACATTGAGACCGGATTGGACAGTTTGATAGATATTTTTGGGGGGGAGATTTTTTGTTGTTGTTCTTATGGAAGGGTCCCTTCCTCTTATTATTATTATTTTCTGTTTTTTTTCTCCCCTCACCCTCCTCCTCCACAGTACTCCCCATATAATTTTTGCTTCTCTTCTTCCGCGGAAAAGCACATGTATATTTATATTTATATTTATAATTCCAGGGATGAGGAACTTTAAAAAAGAAAAGGGGTGGGGGGTGGGGACATTTCAACACGGTGTGAGTAAAGCCGCATGGGGTATGTGTTTGTATTGCACGCGTTCAAGTGAGGAGGAGGAGGGATGATGTGTGGGAGTTGTCTGAATGATCACATCATCATTATCATCGTCATGGCCTTGTTTTCTCTCTTTCTCTGTGTGTGTTTGTTGGGCTTTTTTTTTTTTTTTTTTTTTTTACTTTTTCTCCCATTTTTGTATTTGTATTTTTACCGTGGTGGTGAACAAATAAGCATCCATACAAACGACAATAAAAAAAGGAATAGTTCCGTAAAATTGCACGGGTGTGACGGCATTACATATTAATTCATTATTTGTACCTGTCTCTCTGTCTCTGTGTGTGTGTGTCTTTCTATTGTTGTTGCCATCAATCCGTAAAGAGGTGTTTGGGTGTGAGTGCGCATTACAGAACGTGCAAAGCAAGGGAAGCTGGGGAAAAAACAAGGAGAGAGATATGGGTGATATTATACGCATTAAGAGGCATCACTATGTGCACATACTAGACAATAACACAAATGTTACACGATGTATGGTGGGGCCGTTGGTTTACACACGCAAGGAGAATGAACGGTGTCTTTTTAATCCAAAGCCATGCATTGTTGTGCCACCACGATTTTATTGCATCGTCCAGAATCCTTGTGTGCGGGATGCGTCTGGCAATCCAGTGATTGGGGAGAACTCCAGTGTGATGCTGCGCATGGGGGAGGAGGAGATTTGCTTTGAGCAGGAGCCGTTTCCGTTACAACCGGGGGAAGTGCTGAAGCGAGAAGAAGAGGAATGGCTCTTCAAACTGAAGTTAATTCCTGTCAACACGGGATACCATGTTCGTTGTCTCTGCGATTTTACAGATAAGAACTCCGTGTTGAGGCGGGCTGGGACGGAGTGGTTGGTCGAAGGTCCGCAGACATACGTGCCACGCGTCGAAGTCGAAGTTCTGCGAGAGGTCCATGCACATATCATCAGCCCAAATACGGCGTTACATATCCGCGCCCTGGTGAAATTTACAGACCGTACTGGTGTGCCTCGTGAAGCAGGGGACTTGTGGACAGTGAGAACTGTTGGCGCGTACCTGCCGGCTGTGGAGGAAGATGTCATTGGCACCTTTCAAGGCATTACACTGACCGACACCGAGGCCGTCCACTTGGAAGCCCTCTCAAACTTTACGGATGTTTACGGAAAACGACGGAGGGCCGGAGAGAGATGGTTAGTGACAAAAGAAGATGCTTCTATACATATTCCTGACGTCCATGAAAAGGTTAGTGGCAAGGTGCGGGCGATTGTGCTGAATGAGAAGGAGTACTGTGTCGTGCAGAATCCTCTTGGCGCGGACGGACTGAACGAATTCGGACGAAAAGAAGTACGTAAAGGGGAGTGCCGTTTTTTCCTTCACCCACAGGAAGAATTACTTGGCGGTATGCAGCCCATAAATGTGGTTAGCAAAGATCAAGCTCTCCTGCTTCAGGCGGTGGACTTTTTTGACGATAATGGAAAGATTCGACGCCCTGGAGAAAAATGGATGTTGCATGGGCCCGCAGAGTACATCCCTGATGTGAATGTTCGTATATTGGAGCAGCGGAATCTCATTGCGTTGGACAAAAACGAGGGCATCTACGTCATGAACACCACCACGGGCGTGGTGCGGGTTGTGATTGGGAAACCGTACATGCTGAATGAGAATGAGGTGCTGTGGGAGAAGGACCTTTCCCCAAAAGTGGAGGAGTTACTTGCCTTTGCGAATGGTTGCATGTCAGAAGGGGAACGAAATCCGAGCTTTAAAAGTACACGTGTACGGCATCGCGTTGTCCGTTTCAACGTCCAACACAACGCGGCGGTGCAGATCTATGACTATAAACAGAAGAAACTCCGTGTTGTGCTTGGGCCAAATTTGGTGATTTTATCGCCCGATGAGGAGTTTACAGTGGTTTCACTCAGTGGGGGAAAGCCAAAAGTACCCAATTTGTTGCATTGCCTGCAACTTTTTTTAGGCCCCCGCTTCTCAAGCGACCGCATCGTTGTGGAGACATCGGACCACGCCCGTCTGGAGCTGGACCTTTCCTACAACTGGTACTTTGATGTAAACCGTGAGGAACCGGATGCTAAAATATTCTCCGTGCCAGATTTTATTGGGGACTGCTGCAAGACGATCGCCTCGCGTATTCGTGGCGCGGTGGCCGCGGAGGACTTTGACTCCTTTCACCGTAACTCCGCAAAGATCATTCGTGTGGCCGTCTTTGGCCGCGGTGAGAACGGTGAAATCAACACATCCCTACGGTTTTCAGCGAACAATCTGGTGGTGACGAACATTGACATCCAGTCTGTGGAGCCGACGGATGCCAAGACGAGGGACAGCCTGCAGAAGTCGGTGCAGCTTGCGATTGAGATCACGACCAAGTCCCAGGAGGCCGCCGCACGCCACGGGAAGGAGCGCAAGGATCAGGAGGCGAGGGGGAAGCTGGAGCGGCAGAAACTGCTTGATAAGATTGAGGTGGAGCGGACAAAAACGAAGTGGCTGCAGCTGCAGGCCCAAAGCGAGGCCGTGCAGGCAAGCGGACAGTCCGTGGCGGAGGCCAAGGCCAAGGCGGAGTCGCTTCTCATTGAGGTGGACTCCGAGTTGAAGCAGGCGGAGATGCGGGCAAAGGCGTACCGCATCACGGCTGAATCGGAGCTAAAGAAACAAAAGCAGAAACTGGAGCTCGAATTGGAGTTTACAAAAAGGCAGAACGAACTGGATATCATGAAGGCGCGCCAAATAGCGGAAACTGAGGCGGAGCGGGTCCAGCGCATGGTGAACGCCATTGGACGTGAGACGATTGTGGCGGTGGCACAGGCCGGGCCCGAGATGCAGGCAAAGTTGCTTGGAGGATTGGGCCTCAAGGGTTACCTCATCACGGACGGCAAGTCACCGGTAAACTTGTTCAACACAGCCCAGGGTTTGATTGACGCCGGGAGTTCCGCACAGGAGCACTCGTAAGGGAGAGAAGAAGTGCAGCAAGAAGGAAAGAAAGTGAATATTGCTTGATTTGCATTTCTTATTATTGTTATTTTTGTTGTT